CACACCCTGTGCCTCAGTTCTCAGAGCTGCTATGAAGGGGCTACCCCGATGCTGAACAACTGCTCTAAGAACACATATGGGCTCGGCCTCCTTCCTGTAGTCTGTGCCCTCTTCCTGTGCATATTGTGACTGAGCAACCCCTGCTAACCTAGCCAGCTAGGGTTCATTTGCATGAAAGAATTACACTCTGTGGGGTTTGCTTTGTAAACCCCGACTTTCTCTGTTCTTTTCAGGGTGCAGTTTGGGTCGCTACCTAGATCTGCATCTCCGGGGTGGCCACTCTTTCTGCTCAAACACATGCTTTCTGCCCTTGACTGAGCCTGGGCCTCTCCTTTGGTGAACAAATGACTGAGAGAATGAATAAATAAATGCAAAGGTGTGGCAAGAGGCATAGCTAGACAGGCCCAGGATTCTCCTAGGGAACGTGGTCAGAGGTGACAAGATGGTGACAAAGCCTGTGTCCTACCTCACTAATACGGTGTGGGAGATGGCCTGGGAGATGGCCGCTTCCCTAACAAAACCAAACATCCTGCTGTCCTGCTGTCCGTCTCACCTACTACTGACAGTTAAGGACGAGGCCTGCCCCACACCAGGCCTCTGGCCCCAGGCAGGTGCTCTAGCCCTCCTGACCCTTGGGGGACTTTGGCTGCGCCCCCTTCCCCGCCCCCCCCCCCCCCATCGATTCTGCATGACCCAGGGAGGCACAGGCCCTCTCAGTGCCCAGCTCACGGGAAACGCTGGTCCGGCCCCTGTTATCCTGCTGGCCCCTGCGGGAGGTAAACTTCAGGTCAGGAAGGCTTCTTCAAGGGCCCCACCCGCAGCGGGCTGTGGGGTTCTCCTCCTGACGGCCCAGCTTACAGTGGTCCATGCAGTGGTCGGCAACCTCATTAGCCAACAGAGCCAAATACCAACAGTACAACGACTGAGATTTCTTTCGAGAGCCACAGTTTTTAAACTTAAACTATATAGGTAGGTACATTGTTATTCACTTAATTAGGGTACTCGTCAGGCTTAGGAAGAGCCACACTCAAGGGGCCAAAGAGCCGCATGTGGCTCGCGAGCCGCGGCTTGCCAACCAGGACATCTCATCTGCATCGACGCGCTTTCCCGGTTCCCACCGCCGAGGGGCGCGCGAGAGGGGAGTCCCTTCCCGGGAGCTACCCCCGCGGGGCTGGGAGGTAGGGCGGGCCGCTCCGGAGCCACCTGGTGGGAGGCTGCGCCCCTCCTTTTCTCGCCTCCAGCTCCACCCCCGGGTCTCCGCACGTCACGTCCAGCCCGGCTGGCGATTGGCTGAGAGACTGCTTCCCAGCTGTGGGGGCGGGGCCGGGGCCGTGCGGGGCGGTGATTGGCCTCCGGAGGCGGAGGCTGGAAGCCCTTCCAGGGCGCGGAGCGGCTGCCGCTGGACCCGGGTCCGGGCCCCCGTCCCCCCGCCGGGTCCCTGGCCCTCGGTCTGGGCCGCGAGGTGGCGGCAGCGCCGGAGCTGAGGGTGAGGCGTGTGCGCGTCGCGTGGCCTCTCAGATGTCGGATTTGCTCCGAGTTGACCGCTCGCCCACCGACTGTCCGATCTCGGCCTACGTGGCGCCGGGTCAGCGGCGAGGATCGGTGCCGCCGGCCTGTGGTCGGGGTCCGAGGTCGGGGCGAGCCGGTGACGGGCTGTCTCCACGTGAGCCCCGCAGCCTCGGCTCCCGTCCCTCCGTCGCCCGCCTGGAGCGGCGCGCGGGGCACCGCAGCTTCGGTCCGCAGAGGCCAGCACCTGAGGACCCGGAGGGCCTCCGCGCAGCTTGGGTGCGTCTGCCTGGGAAGCAGGGCGTCAGGCCTTCGGGGCGGGCCTCGCTGCTGTGACTCCCCGGGTGCTGCCGGTGCCGGTGCTCTCCGAGCCTCGGGCCGGTGATGAGCGGGATGTTGGGGTGGACTGTGCGCCCTGGTCTGAGCGCCTCCTGGGCCTTGTGTGCCTGTGCACCTGGTGTGCACCTCCTACGCCCCGGGCATTTGTGTCCGAGGGAGACCTTGGAGCGGGTGTCTGCCCCCCCAGGGTGTGAGGTCTCCAGCAGCTTGTGACTCCGGGCCCAGGTTGTGATGTCGCTGAACTGGCTGGGGGGGGCGGGGGAGGCTTCACCCTCAGGCATCCAGGCTCTGAGCTGTTTGGGGGTCTGTGTCCGGGTGCGGGTTCTCTGGTCTGTCTGGGGACCCTGGCGTAAGGTGTCAGTTCTTTGAACTTCTGTCCTTCTGTTAGCGCGGTCCTTGAATTAACTTGGGGGGTGTCTGCTGCTTGGGAGTCTGTCCTAGGACACGCAGCGTCGGCGGTTTAGAGTCCTGGGCTGAGGACTTTGGTCTTTCGGGGCGGATTGTCTCAGTGCGCGTGGTCTCTGCTCTGCTGGGGAGTCTGTGCCTCCCGTTGTGAGCTCCTGGACAGGTTTTTGGCGTCTGCTCTGGTTGTGTTCAGTGAGCTGTATTTGGTGTCCCTGGGTATGGGAGTCTGTGGCTCTGGTAAAGTCTTTGTTCTTTTTGGTTGTGAGGTCTCCGTCCAGGAACTGAGGGCGTTGGCACCTGGCAGGTATGATCCCGAAGCCTGGAGCCCCAAGTCCTGGTTGCGTGTCCTTGGGCGCATCACTTGTCCCCTGCAGCCTCCATATGGATCATAATCAGTACAATGAGGCCGGTGCCCATACCAGAGGGTCCTGTCCATCCTAGCAGTGTGTGTCAAGAGCCGGGGGCGCAGTCCGTCTTCTGAGCACGGGCTGTGTGTTCCAGGACTTGGGGGTACAACGGAGCAGTAATTGGCAAAGTCTGATTTCATGGAGTTGTCGGTAAACCTGTCACATCGGTGAGAGTGAGCGGTGTTAAGGAGCAAGATAAGGCCAGGTGAGGGGGAAGAGTGTTTTATTCCGGGTGATCGGGGAAGGCCTCCTGGAAAGGTGCTGATGGAGCAGAGACCGGGAGGAAGTGAGGGAGAGCCGTAGATGGCTTTCGGGAAAAGCATGCCAGGCACAAGGAACAGCAAGTGCAACAGTGCTGAGGGGGAAATGCACGCGGCCTGTTCCTGGAGGTCCAGGAGTCCCGTGAGCCTGGTAAAGTGCCTCCGCGCTGGGATTGACACACAGCGCGCATGGGAGGTGCCTGGTGTTGCGATCTCTGTTTCTCCTCCGGCCCGTGAGGGGGTTGGGGTCACGCTCATCTTCCAGACCAAGGACCTGAGGCTCCAGGAAGTAGCCTGTGAGCTTGCCCTCCTGCTCACACCTGAAATGGCTAAAAGAGGAGGGAAACTTTCAGCTCCATCATGAGAGGCAGAGGGCTTGAGCGTCGGAGCTTCAGGGAGGACACCGTCCACTCTGAAGGTCAGCCAAGCGGCCGATGCAATGATAGTGCAGGAATCACGCCCAGGATGACATTTTCCGCTGGATGGAGGGGAGGATGTTATGAATGAGAGAGGACCTGGGGCAGAGGAGAGGGGCAGGAAAGGGAAGCTGGAGACCAGTGAGAAAAAAGTCAGGGGCTTCGTGGTGTTGCCATGCTTGGGCCCGATTCACCTGAATTACCTGATGGTCCTAAATGTGCTCACCTTTTGCGCTTCCCTCCCCTTTGTCTCGTGTCCCTTCCCCTTTGTGCCAGAGCAGTTCTGTCCTGCAGCTACCATATCAGGTGCAGCAGAGCAAGGAAGCAAGTTGGGGGTCAGACCCCAGCACGGGGAGGAGGCGTCCACACTGGGGGACAGGCTGCAGGGGTGAGAGAGCCCCAAGCGGCCAGGAGGATGTCCCCAGGGTTGGGTGCTGGAAGGCTAGCTGGCTCAGGGATGCAGTGCTGAGGGGTTGAGGCGGTCAAGAGCAGGGGATGCTTCATCACCGTGTGTGAGGAGGGCTCTCTGTGGGGAAGGGCTGGCTTACATACATTGGAACCCATCAGCTCGGGAAATGTACAGGGCGATGGGAACCAGGACTCTCGCTTGAGAAAGGGGAGTTCCCAATGGGGCAAGAGGCAAACCAGAACAAACTCGGAGGTGGTATGCTGAAGTCAGAGGCCTCCATGTGAACTCATGGCTTTAGTATGTGTCCACGAGAATGCGTGGGAAGGGTGGCACAGATGCATATGTTTGTGTGTGTGTGATTGTGTACATGCGTATATCCCCGCCATGGGCAAACTATGGCCCGTGGGCCAGATCCGGCCCGTTTGAAATGAATAAAACTAAAAAAAAAAAAGACCGTACCCTTTTATGTAATGATGTTTACTTTGAATTTATATTAGTTCACACAAACACTCCATCCATGCTTTTGTTCCGGCCCTCCGGTCCAGTTTAAGAACCCATTGTGGCCCTCAAGTCAAAAAGTTTGCCCACCCCTGGTATATCCCAATACTGCTGCTTCCAGCAGCATTGCAATGGCACTAGTACACCTAGCCCCCAGGTCCTGGCTTCTAAATACCATTCTCCACTAAAGGATTGGCGCCGGCGCTGCGGGAGGGCGAGGAGGACTCAATCCGGCTCAACTTGTGGTGTCAATACTAAGAGTAAGTTCAGGGAATGATTGGAGTATCAGAGGGCACAGAACATGGCTGGAGGTATGCCCACTTGACAGGGGGCGGGGGGGAGACAATGCTCAGCTTTGACATATCAACGTGTAACACATGTACGTTTAAAGTGTACAGCGCAATGATTTGATACACATTTATATCATGAAATGATGGCCACAGTAAGGTGTGTTAGCATCTCCAGCCCCTCACATAATTACCATTTTGTGTGTGTGACGATAACATGTAAGATCCACTCGCTCAGCTACTTTCAATAAGGAACACAGTGTTGCTAATTAGAGTCATCGCGGGGTACATCAGATCCCCATGACTTAACTCATAGCTAGAATTTGGAAAATTTGCTCAACATTTCCCCCATGCCCTGACAACCACCATTCTTTTTTTTTTTCCCCATAATCAAAACTTTATTGAAAAATTGACACCAAAACAGGAGATCACTGTTGTATACTTACAAAATTAAATGTAATTACATTATCCTAGTAGATTAAGTAGAATTACTAAACTGATAAGGCTTTTTGTGATATAACCCAAATTCAGGAAGCTGTGTGGATCATTAGTGTTGCTTTCTTCTAAATGAACATCCTTCCGTGAGTCGCGCCTTTCCTCCTGTTGGCTGGCACAACAGGGTTGAGCAACCTACGCAAAGAACCACCGTCTGAGTGTGGCTGAAAATCGTGCTGATCTTGTAGCAACCTGGGCATTTTACATCCATAAAAGAAGAATTTGGACTTTGAACTAGCCGTTTCTTTTTGTGTTTTTTCTTTTCCTCTTCCAAGGACGGGTGTAGTAAATCTCGGGCCAAAGGCATGTTGATCGTCTCACAGGCGCAGCCCGTCCCGATCTCCTAGCGACACCCCCACCATTCTAATCTATATTTCTATGAGTTTGGTTTTTGAGTTTCCACATATGCAAGAACATCCAGTATTTGTCTTTCTCCAGGTTATTTCAGTCAGCATAATCCCGTCAAGTCCACCTGTAGTTGCAAAAAGCAGGATTTTCCTCTATTTTATGGTCGGATAAGGCCGTGTGTGTGTGTGTGTGTATGTGTGTGTGTGTGTGTATACCACTGCCATGGATGCCCAGGGTGGCTCTGTACGAGTCGTGGCTCTTGGCTCCTGGAACGGGGCCTTCTCTGTGAGAACAAGCCCTCTCCAGGCTAGGCCACCAGAGGAAGGGACCAGGCTGGGTCCCTTAGCTGCTGGAGAAAGCTGTCTGGTTTGGGACCGCAGCTGAGATCAGGGAAAGGACAGCTGAAAGCAGGAGAGAGAGAGAGATCTCCTCAGGTCAGGGTCCGTGTCTCATAGTGGAAGGAAAGACATTTGCCCAAGTGCCGGTTGCTCTAGGCTTGAGGGAATGGAGTTGGGTGCAGGAAAGGACCAGAGGCTGAGAGGGTGGGGATAATGCGTCCCATAATCTCACTTCATGGGTCTTGCATGGTCCCGGAGAAAAGCCTGTGCCATTATGGCGTCTAAAATGTCATCTCCTGTGCCTACCTCCACCCACCGGCCATGAAAGAATGGATTGGAGGTACAGTGCACCCTTCAGGGAGGAAGGCCAGTGGGGTTGTGAGGTCGTCTCAGAGGTCCCCTGCCCTGCCCTTGGCTCTCGTGTTCATTATGTTCTCTGCCTCTGAGGTTTCCGGTTGGTCTCCTCAGCCGTGTGTCTCACCGGAAAGAGTCAGTACATTAGAGACCGGCTGGCTACCAAAGGATTTAATAATGTTCCTGAGAGTTTCCTGGCAGAGAAAAAAAATCATCATTTCTAGGGCACTGTGGTGGCCACACAAAGTGGGATTCCCTGGGTGTGGATCACAGGGGGCGCATTTTAAGTTCCTGGGTTCCCACTTATGTAAACAACTTGTCTGGGAACTAGTGGGACAGGGCAACGGTTTTGTTCCTGCTGCCAGGCTGCCCTGTCCATTGTGAGGATGTAGAAGTGACCACCGTCTGGCCTTCTCCGATGCACAGACCCAAGGCAGCACATTCAGGCCAGAGGCTGCCGTGCTGTCGGCTGGACTGAGGAGGCTCTCAGAGCGTCATTTCCACCAAGTGTCCTGGTCCCACTCCTGTCAAGCTCCCACCTAAAGGATTTCCATTGCAGTCAGCTGCCTATTTACTGTGCAGTCCCATGCTCCAAAATCAATCTGTGTTCCATGTGTGCTGTAAATCGAAATCCTTTGCAATGGCCATTGGATCTTAGCCTTGATGCAACAAACCCGCATCACAGTGAGTTTCCCGCAATGCCTCCAGGCCCATGGCTCCTCACGTACTGCTGGGCGACACTGAGCAGGGCGTTACCATGGCCGGTCATTTTGCATCCCATGTCATATCTGGATGCATGAATGCACTGCTTTTCTAAAACCCTGCGTGTAAGCCATCAGTGTTTGAGGTCTTGGGGTGTTTTACCCCATTTAACACACAGAAGGATCCAGGAGGTAGGGCTCCTTACACTCCCCATTCTGCAGCTTGGAAACACAGGGACAGGAAAGTGAGGATGAATGGTGCTGGACTTTCCTTCTTCTTTCACCACCGTGTGTTGCAGTCGGGGTTCATCGGGCTCTTTGAGAACCTTCTTCACCTTCCTGTCCAGACCCAAGGGCCGCCTGGAGCTTTGAGCAGGGACTAGGCCTTCATGCATCGACTCCAGGACGCAGCTCAGCGTTGATTTCTGCATCTTCCCCGATGGCCTCAGAAGAGTCTTCCTGGGAAGTCACGGCAGCCTGTCCTCCTTCCCTCCCAGAACTGCCCATGGGGCCCCGGTGAAGGGAACCCCAGGCCTGGCACCACCTGCCCTGGCCCTCTACTAGGGGTGCTCCAGCAGCGGCACCGAGGTGAGGACACCCTACAAGAGAGGCCCTGGGAAAGGTCAGCGACCCCTCAGAGCAAAAGCATTTCTCGGACGCCTGAGATGGAGACACGTTGATCCCGCGGTCCCTTATCGGGTCAGGGGAAAACCGGAGTCTCTTCCTCAGGTGGGAGAGATCAGAACCGATTTAGGTGTGAATGTCGGTACTGCCAGAGCCACGGGCCGCCTGTGGGTGGGATGCCTGCGGAGAGGAAGGGGGCCCTACTGCCTCCCTGCGGGGAAAGCCTCCTACAGGGCCTGTGGGCTTGAGGCGCAGCCTGGGTCCCTATCGGCCCGGCCCTCCCTCAGAAGGGCCACTCCGACAGCAGCACGGACAGGACAAGCTCGAACTGGAGGGGTGGCAGGACAGCAGAAGCATGTGCCACAGGCTCCTAAGAGGTTCCCGTGCTTGAAGGACACTGACCATCGCACCTCACCTGACGGATGCTGTGTGTGGTGGGGGGGTTCCTTTTGGGGCCAAACAGTAAGCAGTAGGCGGAGGGTTAAGTCAACCAGTTTGACTGAAAAGGCTTCCGGCATGAGCGCGCCCGGATCCCAGGAAGGTCCTGGCCTTTTCTGGGGGCAGTGGGACCGCCCTGCGGCGCTCCGAGGCCGGGAGGCGCCCAGCAGTGGTCCTCAGCTCCTGTGTCATGGCTCCGTGACGCATGCAGTCACTTTCACACCCGGTCTCTGTGTCCTCCCTGCGCTGCTCTCCTTGGACAGAAAGACTCTCTGCAGGGCGAATGCCCCGCGATGCCCAGGTGCTTCTGTGCCATTGCCTTCACTGCCTCGGGGCAGCAGCCCAGTGAGTGCTCCCATGCACGTGTGCTAATACGAGGTTGCTTTCACGCATCTCTCTTCAGTAAATGGGGATGGGAAAATGGACAGGTACATGCAAAAAGAAGAAAAAAAACTAGACCGCCAACTTACACAGACACTAGAATAAACTCAAAATGGATAAAGGACTTCAGTGTAGTCGTGAAACCATAAAAATCCTAGAAGAAAGCAATGGCAGCAATCCTGTCAGACACTTCACTTAGCAATATTTTAACTGATGCACCCCCTAGGGCAAGAGAAACATGGGAAAACATAAACAAGTGGGACTGCGTCTAATAAAAAGCTTCTGCACAGCAAACGAAACCAGGATCAGAATCAAATGGGAACACACTGTATGGGAGAACATACTTGCCAATGATACATCTGATGAAGGGCTAATTTCCAAAATATATCAAGTTCTCATACAATTCCACGAAAGGAGGACAAAACAATCCAACCACAAAATGGGAAGAGCACCTAAATGGACACTTCTCCAAAGAGAACATAGAAATGGCCTAGAGACATATGAAAAAACGTTCAGCATCACTAATCAGCAGAGAAATGCCAATTAAAATGACAATGAGATACCACCTCACACCTACCAGATTGGCTACCATCAGTAAATCAACAGACGACAAGTGCTGGTGAGGATGTGGAGAAACAGAAACCCTGGTACAAGCTCTGCAGAAAACAGTGTGGCGTTTCCTCAAAAAATTAAAAATGGAACTTCTATTGGACCCAGTGATCCTCTTCTACAAACATACGCTAAGAAGCCTGAAACACCAATCAGAAAGGATATATGCACCCCTGTGTTCCTAGCAGCACAATTTACAATAGCTAAGATCTGGAAATAGCCCAAGTGCCCACCAGTAGATAAATAGATAAAAAGGCTGTGGTACATTTACACCATGGAATACTATGCAGTAGTAAAAAAGAAGGGTCTCTTACCCTTTGAGACAGCATGGAGGGACCTGGAGAGCATTATGCTGAGTGAAATAAGCCAGTCAGAGAAAGATAGGTATCACAGGCTCCCACTCATATGAGGCATCTAATGAACAGGATAAAGTGACAAACAAAATAGATCCAGAGACATGAAAGCATGTAACAGACTGAGGATCCTCAGAGGGAAGGAGGGGGAAGAGATCAATCAAAGAACTAATAAGAAAATCTGCATAAACCATAGACACAGACAATAGTGGGGTGAAGCCCTGGGGAGGGGCAGGAGTGGAGAGGGGATCCATGGGGAATAAAGGGGCCTTCTGTAATACTTTCAACGATAAGACACATTTTAAAAACAAAGTGTGGAAAGGGGGTGTAGAATGGGAATGTGGGGGTGCACCATTGTGGTCTTTGCCACAATGAATAGGACCCCAATGCAGGCAAATGTTCACTGCTCCCTATCACTGAGTCGCACTCCCCTAGGACAGTGGTTCTCAACCTTCCTAATGCCGCAACCCTGTAATACAGTTCCTCATGTTGTGGTGACCCCCCATTTCATTGTTACAAATTGAACATAGTTAAAGCATAGTGATTAATCACAGAAACATATGTAATTATATATGTGTTTTCCGGTGGTCTTAGGCAACCCCTGTGAAAGGGTCGTTCGACCCCCAAAGGGGTCGCGACCCACAGGCTGAGAACCGCTGCCCTAGGAGGAGTTTCTGATGGATAACTTCCTCCTGGCACCCAATAAAGATACGAATTAGCCGAAGCCGGTTTGGCTCAGTGGATAGAGCGTCGGCCTGCGGACTGAAAGGTCCCAGGTTCGATTCTGGTCAAGGGCATGTGCCTGGGTTGCGGGCGTATCCCCAGTGGGAGATGTGCAGGGGGCAGCTGATCGATGTTTCTGACTCTGTCTCTCTCCCTTCCTCTCTGTAAAAAATCAATAAAATATATATTTTTTAAAAAAAGATACGAATTAAAGGAAACTAAGTTTAGAATTGAGATTTCCTCACCCACCGTGGCCCGTTCTCTGTCAGATCTGCGACCACCACATTCCAGTCCCCGAGCAGCAGATCCCAGTTTATCACGAGGAGCAGATTGGGATGGAGAGGAGGGAGGGCCCAGAGAACACGCACGTCACTCTTGGCGGACCGGCAGCAGGACCAGCCTCCGATCCTCCGGGCAGAGGCAAAGGAAGAGCGTCCTGCGGGGCAGGGAGAGCTGGAGCAGAGGGCGTGCCCACAGGAGGGCCCTGCGGTGGTG